TGAAGAGCTGAAATTTCAGAAAAACAGAAGAAAGGTTAGAAGAGTAGAAAAATCCGCAAAACACTGACCATCGTATAGATTTCCACCATTTTTGGCCCTGTGTCACCGTCTCCAACATGCATAGCACGCAAGCGTTCACGGCGGTAATTCTCGTACAGAATCTGAAAGATATGTTTTCAATATCAATCGCTGACGATATAATAGTGATTAGAACGCTTACGTTATGAGTCCTCTCCCTAAGTGAGTCCACATTGGTGCGGATGAGTGCTTCCCTCAATTTCACAAAATCGCAGTGCTGCTCATTTTCCACTAAAATTTCCAGTTCTAAATACTGTAAGTTACAGATTAATTGCTAGAGAACTGACCTTCTACAATTCCCCAAGGGTACCTTCTGGCTCGTACGCGCATTCCATTTTCTTTCTTTACAAAATCAACACTGCCGACAACAGCAAATGGTACAGCATTGTTCATGTCTGCGTTTGCCTGTGCTACCTAAAGAAAGCCTTGACAGTTGCAAGTGCGGTGGAATCTTCCAAACTCACAGTTTCGTCGTCTGTCGGAAACTGATAGATTTCAATTTTGTGACTGCGAAGCTCGCTGATGATCTGAAAAAATATTATCCAAATGTCGCGTTCCTTTAAAATATTGAATTCAAGTCGTAAGAAATTCAAAAAATTTGCTCAGCAGTGCTTCCATGATCTTCGTTTGCTTAACTTCTAAGTTCAAAGGCAAAACATGCTGGGCGATCTCAGAAAACATTATATTCTCAATTTTAATTTTAATACTATTTTTTCAAAAATGAAAAATCAAAAAGGTGACCAAAGTTTTCAAAAACGGACTTCATTCTCCCCCCACTCTTCTACCTACTTTTTTTAGTCAGAAATACTATCTGACGCTCATTTAATTTGACTCTAGATATGACGCCCATTTTGTTTGTAAAAACAAATGAGATTTATAATAAAGACGTGTGACAGTCACAAACAACGGCGGTCTCCCACTCTCCTTCCCATCCCCTTCGATCGTGAAAGTTTCCGCAATAGTTTTTAACAAAGAGTGGTAATATTTTTTCTAACAAGGGGCAAAGAGTGGTTAAGAAGAGAACTATACTGAACCATACATATTTGAAAAGGAAATCATTTTTATGAAGAGTTAACCCAGCAGCCTGATCTCCTCCACCCACCCTTATGAAAGACTTTAGAAGGCAAATGAATGAGAAAATCCTTTTTCAACTTTCACAGAAAACTGCGCAGCGAAATTCTAATTCTAAGCGCTTTATCTCAAAGATGTGATTGTATCAATGTTGCTCCGCTTACACCCTTTTCTTCTATCGAAAAAAATTGTTCCGTGAAGCTCGTGAATGTAAACCTTGCATAATATGCCCAATTTTGAATGACAGATAAGGACCAAGCAGCTGCCACCTATTCAGACTACCGGATATTGACACTCGTACTTGATTGACACTTGATGAGTTTCACAAAATTCGCATCGTAAGGCACATCTGTGCTGAAATGGGCGCTTCAAACACCTGCACAATGATGGGGCATAGCGCTTGATTCTATTATTCAAAAGCAGGACTTAGTCTTGTTCAAGGATCAAAAAGTGAAAAATAGAAGAAAACAGTGGCAAATTTTTTTTCAAGAAAATCAGACTATTGAGCAGTTAGAACAGAGTGAAAATATTACGAAGTAATTAAGGAGAGATAGAAGAAGTAATTAAAACAGGATTCAAAATGAGGGTTAAGAGACTGTTTGAAAATTAAAACACTGACCTTATTTTTGAAACGGATCAACTCGTCCTTGCATGTTGTGTCGGACTTTGCGATCACTGGTATTACATTGACCCGTTTGGCGAGCTCACGCAATGTCACCAAGTCCAGAGCCTTTAGGCTGAAATGCATAAAAATTGGATGTTTCAACATAAGATTATTTGAAAACCACAATACACCTGCGCTTTCAC